CGCCGCATCAGGCCACCGATCTGGCCAAGTTCCTCGACAACCTCAAGGGTGATGAGTCCCAGTCTTTCTCGCTGGCCCTGGAGAAGGTCCTGCAGGAGCGCGTCGTCACCAAGCTCCTGAACTTCTTCATCGAGCAGCTCGACCTGATCCTCACCTGCGACTCGCCGGCCGGTGCGCCCCCCCCCCCCCCCCCACACGTCTGAACTCCAGTCACCTTGTACCCCCCTACGCCCCCCCCCCCCCCCCCCCCCCCCCCCCCCCCCCCCCCCCCCCCCCCCCCCCCCCCACACGCACACAGACATCGAGGGTGCCTTCAACATCATCCTGGCCATCGCCCACTTCGACAAGTCCACCACCGACACCCTGGCCGAGTCGATCATCCTCTTCGCCACCAAGACCACCTCCACCTCGCCGGCCATCTTCAAGATCCTGGCCAACCTGTTCAATGCCCTCCCCACCGACAGCGTCCTCCGGTACAAGGTCTTCCGCGTGCTGCTCACCACGGCCATCCAGCGCCACAACATCCCGGAGGTCGTGGCCTTCGTTCCCCACCTGCCCAAGTGGTTCGCCGAGTGGAAGTCCTCCAACGCCGACATCCGCTCCGTCTACAAGCAGCTGTCCGATGCCCTGTTCGCGTCCGGTGACATGTGCGCGCGCGACCCGCGATTTTGCCCTGCGCCTGCCCCCCCCGGCGGCCCACCCTGCCTCTCACTGTCTGACACATGCACACGTGTACACACACACACACACACACACACACACACACACACTCCCCCCCACCCCAGTGACCGCGCCCTCGACATTCTGGCCCTCTACATGAAGACCTTCTCCACCGAGGCGCCCCCCACCGGCGACGAGCGCTCGGAGCTCATCTCCCTCCTCGTGCAGATCATCAACAACGAGGCTGTCTTCAAGATCGACGTCATCATTGACCTGCCCGGTGTGTATCTCCCCCCGTCTGTCTCGCAGAGGCCCACTTCATGCTCAGCTGTGCTCCTCCTCCCCCCCCCTCTGCCGGCCGGGCTTCCCGTGCTAACCATACGCCCACCCCCCCCCCCTCGACAGTTATTGCCCTCCTCGCCGACGAGACCGCCGTCAAGGTCCTGAAGATCTTCTTCAAGGGCGACTCCGCCGAGTTCAAGGCCTTCGTCGAGCAGAACAAGGCTGCCGTCGAGGCGTCCGGTACGTCGTGCCCCCCCCCCTTTGTCTCTCTCTCTCTCTCCCCCCCTCATGTGTGCTCACATTGCCACTGCCTCCGTCGCTGCGCGCGCGCACACACACACACGCACACAGGCATCAACATTTCTACCTTCACCGAGAAGATCCGCCTGATCGACCTTTCTACCCTGGCCCTCAAGAGCCTGCACACCCCCCTGAGCTACGAGGCCATCGCCTCGCACATCGGCTTCAGCGTCGACGACGTCGAGCACTGGATCATCGAGGGTGCGTGCCCCGCGGGCGCGGGGGGGACAGGCCCCCATCCTGCCGTCTCCCCCACTGTGCCCTCTCTCTCCCTTACTCTTGGCCGCCGCCCCCTGATCCCATGCCCCGCCATCTGACACACCCATCCTACATGACGCCGCTCCCGTTGCGCCGGCCTCCTCGCACGCCGCCACACACACACACACAGCCGTCCGCAAGAACATCATCGTCGCCAAGATCGACCAGATCAGCCGCTCCATCGTTGTCAGGTGCGCGCACTCTCCGCGCCCCTCCACCCCCGTGTGCCCTCTCTCTCTCTCTCTCT